ATTATACTCTTCTTGCAAATTTGTCCACCTCTGCGTGGGATTTGCAGAAGGAAAGGGGAAGCTCAGTTATCATACCCCACCCAAAAAGGATAACCTAGAGGCTCAATGAGCCCTATTTTCATAATCAGCAATTTTGAAATTTGTCGGGTAGCAGCCTGCAGAATTCAGAATTCGGCAACCCTTGCCCAAAAAAAATTTTTTGGTCCAAGGGGCGCGGACATTTTCCGAACTCGCGCGGTGAGTTGGACATTTTTTCCATGGAGGGTGCCGTAGGAAATTACGGAACCCCTACTTTTGTCTTCTTTTTTTTACCCTTAGTTTTTTTGGTGCGGTGCGCGTGGTGCGGTGCGCGCGGTGCGCTGCACGTGCACAAGTCCGCGCACCGAGGTGCGCCGCAACTATGGAACAAACACGTTTACGGTTTCCCTACCTTCTCAACAACCACGATGGAGTCCTTCAACTATAGTTAGCAAGCCTAACTCTGGCCGCAACCCTACCGGTAGTCCCCTAATTGGAAGAAGGTCGAAATATAGTCCCCTAGTTGGCAATTAATTATACTCGACAGCCTTGACTAATTCCGTAATCATCGAAAAGCCCTCATTACAAGCATATGTACACCCCGAAAAACCAGACCCTAATTGCCTACACAGGAAATAGCAGTACAAATATTGAAATATCTACCCATGTAATAGATAAGAATAACAAGAAGAGAGCTCCCCTATATAAATCCAAATTTGTACGCATACCTATAGTGAACCACCATTGATATACTCCAGAGTATGAAATATTGACTGGACCTGACGCTCCTCCCCTAGTGAAAGCCTCTACAGCTGGTTGCCCAAAATGAGGATCCCAGATTGCATGAGCAATTGGACGTACGTGTAAAGGGTCTTCCCATTTCGGGATGAGAGCATTTGGTGGAACCGGTGAACCATTCAGGTCGAATGGGACAGAGGGCTCGTAATACCTAACTAAGTGGATCAGCAGACGGGAAGGAGCCTAAATCGACGGACTTGAGTTAGTCCGTCGCACACTCAAGGCCAGCGAACGAAGTGGGCGCTCGAACAAATCCTAATAATTACACCCCACTGGACTTCAAGTACATTCCCCCTGTTAACCGTGACTAACCAAACAACAGAACAACGCCACCAAAAAA